GCTTAATGATTAATTAGATGGAACATTGTGGGTGTGGTGTATGAATGTTAACACTTTGTAATAATTCTTTAGTATATTACTTGTGTGGTGTAGAAGATAATTATTTAAGAATGTAATTATGTAAGAATGTTAACACTCTGTTATAATTTTTTTAGTATATTACTTGTGTGGTGTAGAAGAGAATTATTTATGTAGAGATACTGCTTGTAAACCAATGATGGTAAGATGATGTCATGGGGTAGGACTGGATAAGTCTGACTTCTTCCTACTCCATTCAAGCATGTACTAGGTATAAGCAAATTGATATTGGATTATGTGTAAAATTATGTGTGTTGTCATATCAACTGTCTTTACATGCTTGAAAGAATAAATCAAATCAAATCAAATCAAATCAAATCTACGTTTACACACTTCTATCAGGATGGAGAAAATATCAGAATTAAATATTCAAGATGACATTTGGTTCACATTAGCAAAGTCATCTGCCATTATGCGCATCTAGATAATTTCACCACTGACGAGAAGACATAAACTCATTCACTTTGGCAATTGTGTATAAGTTGAAGCTCTTTTTATTCTTATACTGACAGAACTCATGTTAGGATTAGTTAAACAAATACATAGGATAATACCATTTGTCGATTCCGACAGCCTTCCCATACATCTATGTTTAAAATTCCTAATGTCAGCAGAGCAGGTGTGCAGACATTTGGCTTGTGTTGCAGCTTCTTGCAGCTTTAATTTGCAGCCTCTCACTGTCATTATAGGCCACAGTCAGTCTCTTCATGATGCCTTTTCTGTAGCAACGCCACAGGTGGGCACTATACAGGGGGGTACAGAAGGCCTTAAAAAGAGAGAGCATGGAGCACATACTAAGTTTTCAAGCCAACATGTTGGCTTGTGCATATAACTTTTCACACTGTAAATGTCCCTACCATCTGAGAGACTGCTGGTTATGTAATGACCTAAATATTTAATGTCATTACATTTCTTGAACCAGGAAGAAATCAAGATACAGTATAGTCATTTCTTGTCTTTCTTCATGATATTGCTCTTATTAGCAGTATATTTGATGTCAACCTCTAAACCATATTATGAACAATCCTTAATAAGAAAATGACCAACTATACAGACTGGTCCACATCCATTTAAATGCAATGACACATGATCTGTAAAGAATTTAAAGGCCAGGAGATAAAATACATTATTATTTACATGGAAAGGGGCAGATAAATAATTGTACCATTTTATTCTTATTGTGGCACTAGACAACTTCAGTAAAATGTGCTTTAAGTTGTTAAAATAATTTAGTAACCAAATGCTGGAATAAGAAAACTAAAAGGTGGTTAGTGCTGTCACCGCACAGCAAACAGGTTCTGAGACTTGCAGCTTAGGTTGACGACCACCCTACCTCAGGATAAGCAGTATAGATAATGGATGGATGGAGAACACTAATACTAACAAATGTAGCTTCACTCCCATAGTGTATAGTGTCAGTATTTAGTCGTGGTTCAACACTGTTTTGACACACCAGCCTAAAAACAGCTCGCTCAGTACTGGTCTTATTTCCCTGCAGAGTGCTTCAGTTCAAGTCATCAAGCCGCAGTTTGTGAAGACAAATAGAAGCTTGTGGTTTTCAAGTGGAGTTTATATTCGGTGACCAGTGATGAAAACACACATATTCATATGGTGTGTATTTTTCTCATTTTTGTTTTGGCACAAAGTCAAAAGCGTTTGACAAAAAGAATACTGTGTTTTGAACGAAATGCCGTAAATAAGAATATCCATGTTTCTCCCCGTGAGAGTTGTGTTTACTTTGGAGGTTTGGACAGTAGCCAGTGGAGGAGGAATACTTTTCAGAAATAATCAGTGGGCACTCTTATTACCCAGGATTCTCTCCTTAAAATGGTAAATGATACTCTTCTATGTCCTTGTAAGTGGGAGCCTGCAGATGAAGGAGGAATTCCTCTGGTTTTTCAAAAGTAAAATAAACTCTCAAAAGTCCATGCCTCATTTTAGTTTAATGTTTCACAGACTCAAACTGCTCTGTAAAGGTTATGATGTTTGTTTTTAATGTGTCGAAATGGCACAAACATAGCAGGTTTCTAGAAGAGCGCTGAAAAAAGCAAACTGTGACTGATGCGCACCTTGTGATTAAAAGTACGGTAAACTAGTTGACATTTCACACCACATCACAGTGGCTGACTAAAGTTAAAATGAAGATAAAAATGTAACTTGTATATAAATCTATTTAGGTATCTGTGTATGTACTATAAAGCAGATACATCCACAAATCTATTACAAAATTGCTCAATGTCTCAACACTGTACTGTGATGATAATGACAGAGCAGTTAGCATCAAGGTTCTGGTTTCTCAGTGGTAAAGCTTTCACCCAAAGTAGCAGCAGGCAGTTATTTAGATGAAAATAGGTGGAACGTCTCAGGAGCTGTCAGTGGAATATTCTATATTGGCATAGTTAGCGCAGTAAACAGGTAGTATCTATCCTTGTTCGCCTGTGGTCAAATGTTGTTCCATCTGTGGTTGTTTGCTGTGCAGAGCCATAAACGTCTTCATTCTGTAACCTTATTCAGCTCTCACACTGGACATCCTTATTTCAGGGCTGAAGGTAGTGAAAATATTGATGGATTGAGGTATTATGGTTTTGTCTGCAGCAAACCCATGAGCATTTGGTATTTACAGTTTAATTTTAAGATCATGAAATTACGCACTTGCATGGGGGACAATGTATACTGTACACGTTTTCTTTCCCAAATGACTCCTTGTGTCAGCATGCAGATGTTTTTAGCTGCTTCTTTCAGATTGTAAACAAGCAGCAGAGAGGGCTTAAAAAGTCTGGAAAATATCAAAAGATTAGATTTGTTGCAGTAGTTGGTTTTCATGTAATTTTAGCAGCCAACTGCACAAATACACATACTGTACTGCTCAGTGTGCAGTGCTTTAACTACCGGAACTGTATAAGCATTCCAGTGATGAAATATATGGGTTTTTTTTTTTCAAGTACAGTTGTGAGGTAGTTGAATATTTCCATTTTCTTCTACTGTATGATTTTAACTCATTACACTTTTGATGAAAATAATTAGCTTTTTAATTCACTGCAGTTATTGACAACTGTTGTTAATTTACAGATGTAATTTTATATACAAAACATTTGATCACTTTATGAACTGGTGTTGGACTGGTATATATTAAAGTGTCCAGCAGTATAAAGTAGTTAAAATTTTCTGCACTCCAACCAACTACAGCATTAAAAGGCTGCTTGCACATAACACAATCCATTAATCCAGTAATAATAATGTACCATCAGCAGCAGCTGCTGCATAAAGGATGATAATACTTTTCTGCTTTAACTTTCACTTTAAATGCAGGACTTATGATTATGTATTAAAATACTTTTACACTGATGTATGAGTTTTTACTTAAGTATAAAATTTGAATACTTCTTGTACCACTGCTGTTTTCATAGTGAGAAAACATATGTTCTGTACGATTAAAGCTATTTATCATTTGTGGCTAGATGCCTGAACACAAACCTAATTCAGTCATCAACTTTTAAAAACGTTTTCTCATATTTTATTTTTGTTTCTTAACCTCTTCACTCTCATTGTCTTTTTTTGTTTCTTTTTCCTCAGGTTGTTGTGACTCTAATGTGTCTTGATAAATAAATTTCCCATTACCACATAAACCAGCCCACTTCTTTGAGAACAAAATTCGATTTCATTACATTCAGACATACAGTACATGTTTAATATGAGTCTGAAACTGACAAAAGTAACTATAGCCAGGGAGCTGCTGTGAGTAAAGGCCATTAATTTGTACTGTTTGCTGTGCATCAATGAACCAAAAACAATAAAGACTGGGAGGGGTTTTTTAAGGTTGTGTTTCTCTGTGTGGACACACATTGTATATGGCTCAAAGCAACATGAAAACCCATTTACAGTATGTCAGTGTAGAACATTGAGGTGATTTGCGTGCTGCTCTATGCTTTAGTTTTAGCACTGGGCTTTTTTTTTTTTTCATTTCCACTTTTCTTGTCATGCCCTGTTAAAAATGAATGTGGCCATTTTCAATACAGTCACATTTGTCATTGCCCAAAAGTGATCCACAGGCAAACAGCAAGCCAGTCAGTATGACCAATTAGAATGGAAAATGTTTCCTTGAACAGAAAACCACAGCTGGTGTTCCACGCTGCTTTCACATAAAATGTTCAAAAGCTGAGAAAATATAAGGTGTAAGGAAATGTTGGGAACAAAATGCCATATATATGTCATGTGTCATGTCTGATTAGTTACCGGGTAGTTGATGTAACCACAGGAATACATGCTGGGACTGTAAACAACAGGCTGAGCTGATACTGTTTTGTCAAAGGAAAACTTTTTTCTTTGCTCCATGAGTGTTAAGACAGACAATAAACGTACTGCTTAGCTCATGAGCACTTTGTCAGGTGGACTGTTGTGGTCAAAATACAATAAATTGACCTTATAAATATAGTTTAGGCTGTCTGGGTATAGTAACAGGATGGCATCCATGCCAAATGGGACCACAGATGTGCAGTAAAATATTTGATCTATTTCTTGACAAATCAAAAACACTCATGTTGCTTGTTGATGCTGTAATTGATGGGTTTGATGTGGAAGGTATGAATTTTGGTTTACAGGATGAGTTTTGACATTTACACTTAGAGTACATGCAGTATTTCCCTAACTTAGTTTTATTTTTTGTTTTTACAGGTTTACGCAGATGATGTGCTCACAAAAGAGGAACAGATAGGCCTGTTGTTCAAAGCCAAACGGAAGTGTGAGGAGAACATCAAGTCAAAGCACAACATCCCTGGTGAGAATCAGCATGAACGTCTACAGCCATGCAGATTGCTAAATACTAATGCCAGCATGCTAACATGTTCACAATGACAATACAGTTTGAAAATCCAAAACCTCATGGTGGAGCTCCAGTAAATGTCAGGGGATCACCAAAGTTTATAGGGTTCAATGGGCCATGAATCTCTGTAAAATTCCACAGCAAAACCATCCTGTATTTGTTTAGATTTTTGCATAGATAGAAGTACAAGAACTGTCACTCCAGCAAAGCAAGAATGTCAGAAAATATTACATACTGTATCCATAGCTTTGAGTTTGTTTGCTTCATGGACATCAATGAAAACTAGTAGCTAGTGGTCCATCATGTGTTCCGTCAAGCAGATTGTGCTTTTTGTCATGCCATAGTAGAATGACAAAGGAATTACAATGTGGACGTTTGCCATGCAGTGAAATAGATAGATAACAGAGACAGATCCATAAGCCTGTCCATCAGGGTTTGCTTATACAGTATCTACCAAAATGCCTACTTTGGCAGTACTGTAGATTGATACCAGTGAGAGAATACTAATAGATAGACTGAAGGACGCTAACAGGATGTGTGAGACTGTGACAGGCCCATGTGATGGCAAAAGTGTTGTTTTTACACTACCTGCACAGAGTTGCTCTGAAAAGACTTCTGTCAAAGATGCTTAATTTACAGTGGACTGAGCCAATTACAGCAGCAAACTAGTTCTATTTGTCTAAATAGGCTCAGCTATTGAGGGAGCTCCCCAATTAAATCCAGCTGGTGTGAGAGATTCAGTGGCAAGTACAAAAAACAGACTTGAAATACTCATAATATATAAGGCAAGGGGTGCCATCAGATGTAGGAGGAGTACCAGAAGGAGGCAGGAGTGATAGAGGAAGAAAGTAATCAGTAGAGTTTATCAGAAACTGAAGGACTAAACAACATAAACCCCACCAGCAGCAGCATGATGGTTAGTGAACGTGACAGTGTGTCAGAATATAAAGACCACGTTATCATGATTGAACATGATTGGTGACCTATCTGAATGTGATTGTTGAAAATCAGCTGATGCACAACCTTCAGCACGCTACAAAAACCACCTGCATGCTTGAGAAAAGGTTTATGATCGGTAAACACTTTTGAAGCTTTGTTTGCCTGCTTTTTGCTGATATTCTTCTTTGCGGCAGTGGCCTGGCAGTTGAATGTGTGCTCTGAGTTGATGGTTACATTAAAAATTTTGTTCTGTTGTATTTGTCCTTCCTGTGGCTGTCCACGGTCTGGGACTGAAGACAGAACTGATCCCGGGGTGTATTTATGTATGTTTTGAGTGTCTAAAGAGCACTATTTTCCAGTAGACCCCAGTATCTACTGTATGTCATTGTGGTTACTGTCATTTTCCCAGTTAATTGTTTAGAGGAGGATTTTGGATTCTACAGCCAAACCAGTCATATTATTTTCTTTTTAACCTCAGTGGTCAAATAAAATTCTTAGACCCTCCAAACAATACTCTCTCATAAATGAAACACATAATTAAAATATTTATTTCCAGGCTCAGAACACAAACGATTTTGTTGACCAGTCCCTGTAGTTACTTTGCCCCATGTGGTATTTCTTAACTTTTCATAGTTCAAATCTCAAATTGTATTAAAAAAAAATGACAGAATTGCTACTATTGAGAACTTCAGGCGCCGAACAGCAGCTTGTGTAAGATTTCCAGGGTTTATATAACAGCACTGCTTTTAACAGGATGTACATAGATGCTAAGGCAGAACAGAGCAGTCCATCAAACATTAGGTCTCTGTCAGATGTGCTTCTAATCTGACCAGCGTCATGCTTAATCAAACCTGACATGTCATAGCGACCGGCAGGCCTGGTGTCACACTTCACCAGCCACCTTTAATAAGCACATTTGCTGATGTCTATTTGTTTACATTTTGTAGATTACACTTTTGTACTGTATAAAACTTAAAACCAAATTAGTAATTACACAAAATCTTGACTAGACATAGTTATGAGTAGCACATACAGGTACAGCATGTCAAATTTCTTAATTACTTAAAGGAATAGTTTGGCATAATGGAAACTTTTTTGCTTTCTTGTAGAGAGATACAGTGCCTTGCGAAAGTATTCGGCCCCCTTGAACTTTGCGACCTTTTGCCACATTTCAGGCTTCAAACATAAAGATATAAAACTGTAATTTTTTGTGAAGAATCAACAACAAGTGGGACACAATCATGAAGTGGAACGAAATTTATTGGATATTTCAAACTTTTTTAACAAATAAAAAACTGAAAAATTGGGCGTGCAAAATTATTCAGCCCCCTTAAGTTAATACTTTGTAGCATGTCTATTTGTTTACATTTTGTAGATTACACTTTTGTACTGTATAAAACTTAAAACCAAATTAGTAATTACACAAAATCTTGACTAGACATAGTTATGAGTAGCACATACAGGTACAGCATGTCAAATTTCTTAATTACTTAAAGGAATAGTTTGGCATAATGGAAACTTTTTTGCTTTCTTGTAGAGAGATAGATGAAGAAATTGCTACTATTCTCATGGTATGACACGTGTTGATTTTAAGGGGGGAATTATGTGCCAGCCATCATAGAAATGTCTTGACAAGTTATTTTTTCATGTTTCCAGTGTTTGTGCTAAGCATTTACTATAACTTCTTACTTACCATACAGCCATGAGAGCAAATGAGTGAAACTCTCAGTTTAATTGTTGATGCGAGGTAGTGTAATTTTGACATTTCTCGTGTATTGTAGCGTTGAAGTTGTTGGTTAATTATTTGACAGCTGACAGACAAACAAACAAATAATTAAAAACAACCCCAAATCATATAAAACTAGGACAGTATGTAAAATAAAAATGTAATCTGAAAATAGTGATGTGTAAATCATCTGTGTCCTGTGTTACATTGAAAACAATACAGCAGCACATTATTTGTCCCCTATAGAGAATTTGTGGCGCATTTTTAAACGCAAATTGTGTCAACAAAAACCCAGGACTGTTGTGCAACTTTGTTTGCTAGAAGAATGGGACAAAATTGCACCTGACACACTTAATAATCACTTGGTGTCCTTAGTCCCTAAAAGTCTGTTAAGTGCTGTGCAGAGGAACGGTAACATCACACCGTGGTAAATACTTTACTGTCCCAACTTTTTTTTTTTGGAATGTGTTACAGGCATCAGGATTGAAGTGAGTCTTTATTTTGAATAAAGAACAAAATTGATGAGGCATCACATCAAATAATGTGCTGCTGTATTGTTTTCAATGTAACACAGGACACATATGATTTACACATCACTAGTTTCAGTTTTCATTTTGAGTTTACATATTGCTTCAACTTTGTCTGATTTGGGGTTGTAAGGGAAAATGCCACATCTATGGCTTGAGGTGCTGTTAATCAGCACATAAGATCTGACCTGCATACCTGATGATGCTGGCACACACTGGTTGTGATGCATGTTGTATGCGATAGCTGTTTTTTAATTTCTTTTGGAAGGTTGCATATTCAATCATGTAACAGGTGAAGGATTTAGAATAAACATATAACTTTAATAAAGAAAAAAGTCCCTGGTGTAGTTGCAGTTTATGTTTGAATAATCACATACACTATATTGCCAAAAGTATTCGCTCATCTGCCTTCACATGCACATGAACTTGAGTAACAACAGATTCTTAATCCATAGGGTTTAATATGATGTTGGCCCGCCCTTTGCAGCTATAACAGCTTCAACTCTTCTGGGAAGGCTGTCCACAAGGTTTAGGAGTGTGATAATGGGAATTTTTGACCATTCTTCCAGAAGCACACTTGTGAGGTCAGACACTGATGTTGGATGAAAAGGCCTGGATCGCAGTCTCTCAGGTTGAGGTCAGGATTCTGTGCAGACCAGTAAAGTTCTTCCACACAAAACTCACTTGTCCATGTCTTTATGGACCTTGCTTTGTGCGCTGGTGCACAGTCATGTTGGAACAGGAACGGGCCATCCCCAAACTGTTCCCACAAAGTTGGGAGCATGAAATTGTCCAAAATGTTTTGGTATGCTGAGGCATTAAGAGTTCCTTTCACTGGAACTAAGGGGCCAAGCCCAGCTCCTGAGAAACTACCCCACATCATAATCCCCCCTCCACCAAACTTTACACTTGGCACAATACAGTCAGACAAGTACTGTTCTCCTGGCAACCGCCAAACCGAGACTCGTCCATCATATTGCCAGGCAGAGAAGCGTGATTCGTCACTCCAGAGAACACGTCTCCACTGCTCTAAAGTCCAGTGGCGGCGTGCTTTACACCACTGCATCAGACCCTTTGCATTGCACTTGGTGATGTAAGGTTCAGATTCAGCTGCTCGGCCATGGAACCCCATTCCATGAAGTTCCCTATGCACTGTTATTGAGCTAATCTGAAGGCCACATGAAGTTTGGAGGTCTGTAGCTACTGACTCTGCAGAAAGTTGGCGACCTCTGTGCACTATGCGTCTCAGCATCCGTTGAACTGCATTTGAACTTAAGGTTCATCTGGTTGTTTGATTATAAAGATGTAATGTGGAAATCATCATTTACAATCCATGTAGTGGTTTTGCTGTAATGTACAGTAAAATTATAGAGACTGTCAAGCTCTGAGATAAAGTTCATGGAAAGCATTACTTGCACTTCTTGATGATCCATGTAAGTGTTTTCTTTGATGTGGTCATTAGAAGTTGGACTGGATTCAATCTGGTATTATTTGAACATGTGTGATTTTTTTGATTTATTTATTTCTTTTTTTTTCTTCTTGTATTGTGGTGTGACCTTGATTCTGTGAGTTGAGGTAAACTCGGAGAATAGCCACTGCTGTGCATTTTTTAGAACTTCGGCTTTACATCTGTATTTGTCTTGTCTATATACTACCTGACCACCCCCAGAGTTTGTTTCTGGCAATGCAAACGTGTGGTTTTCTGAGCTATTATGGGATATAGTGATGACTCATCTAAAATTCTACCAGTGTGAAATGTAAGATTTGTTCAGTCTTATCAACTGATCATGCAATTTTAGGTTCATGGAGAAAGGATTTGGTCCAGTGTGAGGCTGAAACCCCCCTTTAGGTTATGTTTCAACATTTTTATATTTGTTTTTAGTTCTCGCTTGTGCTTTAAATACACAAAAGTCTCCATTACGTGGCAGAGACAGGGTTTTCATTGAGGGAAACACTGAGGTTTGTCTGGAGAGGACAGTGGAGGGATGTGGGTTCAATGCCCCAGACCTTGCAGTGTGAAAATAGCTCAGCCTTCAAGCTTGTGGTCTGGGTGTAGAATAACATCAGCAATCATTATAAAAGGTTGCATGTATCATGAGAAAATGCAATATATGTTTTGACATTTGCAGGTCAGAATCAACTTAACTGGGGAGGAAAGAAAACCTTATTAAAAACCTCAGTGACATCACTAATACCAAAGCCCCTCCGTAGTCACGTTTATATTTAAATTGTGGTCAAGAAATTTACAGGAAATTGTGTGTGTGTGTGTGTATGTGTGTGCTGGTTGTTTAATATAAGCCTGTTAGTAGGTGGTCCTATGGTAATACAACTTATGGCAAAAGTGAGCATTAATTTTACTTTTACTCCCAGGATGTGTGGTCAGTGTGATTTTCAAAGCTGCACAGTGTTTCTCTCCCACCAGAGATCTGTAGCAATCAGTTAGCTCCACTCAGTCTACTCTTTAATTTCGTGCTTCAAGTGACAGGCAAATAAAAAGCATGTCGTCATTGCTTCAGATGTTTCTTTGTAAGTTTGATTATAGGAATGAAAAAATAATGAAACTACTGCAAAGAGAGGATAGTTTAAGTTTTATCCTTAACTGCTTATTAGTGGTCAAAGTCAGGCAGATGTTTTCAATAATGCAACATAAATGCCAGGCCATAAAGGAGGCTTTTGCCAGGAATATGTTGGGAAAGGGACTTTGCTCCCACTATCAGAGGGCTGAGGTCTGTGGCTTAACTGACAATTAAGGGGCTCTGTGCTCTGAAAGTGTTTCTTTTTTCTTTTGAACCTGCAACTCTTTGTCTGAACTAAATATAGAAGCATCTTTACAAAGCCTCACATAGGGAATTCCTCGGTGAACACACATGACAAAGTGTTTTTGATGTTCAGGAAAAGTACAGTCAGCAATCTTGTGGGATGCTCAAGAAAGTGTAGAAAATACAGCGAGGTTCATGTTATAATGATCCCTGGACTTTTTCCATTTGAAATGTTCCTCAGTCTTAAAAACTCTAAACTTTATTTAGAAATTCCTCAAAGCTTAATTTGATCAACCAATCGGGCAAAGGAAACAGTCCAAGTGTAATTGCAGTATGTAGAAACAATTATTTTGCCTTGTAATTGTATTCACTAAGAAATGCAAATCAGCAGAAGACAATAGAAGTAATTTATTATTGCTATTAAAATAAAACTAATTGTCAGCAAATTTAATCAACCAAGTAAAAATATTGCCTTGTTGCAGCTTCTCAAATATGAAAAATAGCTATTTTTATGTGTTACATATTCTTTTAAATGGAATAACTATGGGAATTTTTTAAACGATTTTATGATATGTCATTGAATGCATCTCCACTGTACAGTAAGTTGAATTCAACATGGATCAAAAACAACCTCATGATACAGAGAGGAAAATCAGCTATAATATGACACCTTTATTTCAACATAATAGGTGCTGCAATGCATCCAGTGTTGCAGTTAATCTTTTCAGTGAGATCCATACAACATAAAAATGGTATGACATTATCAACAATGTAGCATTTATGGAAATATGCTGTGGCTAACAAAGAAGACTTGATGAACGCATTAGACTCAATGGACAATTTGTTATCAGCACTCTGGGATTTCCATGATTGCAAGTTTTAATTATGCTACAATGGATGGGAACTGGAGAAGCATCTATGCTTTCTAGGTTATCCATGTTTTCCTAAAACAAAACAGAAAAAAAATAATCTACAGTCTGGTTTAACACAAATTACAATGTTGCTAATTTACTTAAAGTTCAAGCACAAGACCTACACTGTAAAGGACAACAGAATCTATGAAAACATACTGTACAGTGCTGCAGCTCTTGTAAAGGCCTATAGCCATGTAATGCTGGAACCAGCACTCTGTGGCTCTATTGTTGAAAGTCAGCTGCTTTTTTCTTTGCAGATGGTTTCTGCTCACCAGAATGGGATGGTATCGTTTGTTGGCCTGAAGGGCCTCCGGGGAAGCTTGTATCCACCACCTGTCCAGAGTATATCTATGACTTCAACCATAAAGGTAAGATTTGATCAGGATACAGACAGCAGCTGAAACCCTGAAGCTCATTTTCAGTTGATGCAAAAACACCAGGGTGCAATCAGATGCTAGTGTTCGCTGTATATCTCAGGGTCATTCTGAAACCTCTCTTACACTTCATACAGTTTAATTAAGAAACAAGCTGAGATTGAGTAATTGACTGTGCTGGCAAACAACTGGCAAACTCTGTAATTAAAAATAGACTTTCCGGTTGATGTCTAGGACTAGCATACCGTAAATGTGACAACAACGGAACATGGAAGCTGGCCCCAACCAACAAGACGTGGGCCAATTATAACGAATGTGCAAAATTCCTTTACCCTTACAACTACAGCCATGAAAAGGTGAGCTCCGTCTCATTTTCCTTGACATGCCAACTGACACAATTACAGTGCTTTGCTCTGAAATAATTAAGTGCAATAGCCTATGTGAATGCACTGCCAAAGTAAATTGTGAGACTTATTACAGACTATTAGGCAACTATTGCACTCTTTTACCTTGCAATTAAAATACACTTGTAATGTATAACACATGTTAAAATTTTTTCTTTGCAATGTAAAGATAAAAATAAAGTTTAATCATATTTAATGAAATGGTGAGATGATTACAGGGAGATAATGTGATTATATGAAGCTGCAATTGGCAAAATGTCCATTTAAATATAAATTGAAAGCAGTGTAACATAAATTACAATTAGCAGTTTGCAAAACTTGCCACAAAGCATGCCATCCACTGAAATTATGTTATCAAAAGCTGTGACTAAACCTTTATCACCAGCTTAAAGTTAACAAGACATTTAGACACTAAAACGCTCCACTCTTCCAGGAAGAACTTTTTACAACATTTTTAGAACTGGCTGCAGGGATTTGCTCCCATTCAGCCAAAAGACAACTGAGCTCAGCCACAGATGATTGGTGATATGACCTGATTCACACTTTCACAGTCCAGGCCCCAGGGTCCTCAGGGTGTTTGATGGGTTTCAGGTCACATGCAGACCTCACTCAGAAAACCATTTCTTGTCACTGTAATATCGTTGTATGCTGTGGGATTATGATTTCTCTTTAGTTGAGCCAAACCATATACAGTAAAATAGAAGATAAATAAGTGTAGGCACATATTTTTGGCCATATTGCATGTATTTTATGTTTCCTCCTACATTCTTAAATATTCTTGGGCTTTATGAAAACAGTTATTATATAATTACAGTAGCAAAGCTAATATCAGTAGCCATTGTTCCCTTGGTATTATATTGTGTATACTCTATTGTATTGTAACTCCTGCCTAATATTCTATGCTACCTAAACACAACTAAGCATAAGTATCTGTGACAGGAAATCTAAAGCTAATCAGCACATGAGAGTCATACCCGAGAACATACATAAATACTGTAAGCCTTTTGCTTCCACCATCCCCATGTGGATGACCCTGATTGTAATTGCTCTTCTTGTTTCTCTGTCTTTGCTGTGGGGGTCGGGGGGTGGGTGCAATTAATAGGACTCCTGGGTATTGTAAGAAGTGTGGAAAACAGCTAGAACCTGGCCTTAAATGGGAAAATTGAATTTCATCAGCCATTATTGTGTATGTGATGTATGTGATCAGATTTTCTCATATAGAGTACTTAATAGATAATACTTTTTAGTTTTTACAAATATAATCTGGAAACTTTTTAATTAACTGTATAAAACATTCCAAAGCCTTTGTTTTTCCTCATTTTTGTCATGAAAAAAATACAAATATCAGCTGCCCTACATATATTTTCCTCTACCCTTCCTGAATGAGGTGTGGAGGATGTGAGCTAAACCTCATCATGGTGGCCTTTAGTTTTTTTACTGACTTCAGATATTTATGCTGATGGGCTCCCACGGGAGCAGTTGCAGCAGTTGATGACAAATACATCTGCACAAATGAAAGCCCCACTCAGCTCAACTGCCATTCCGCAGACCACCACCACAACTTAGACACCCATTTTTTTGGCACAGGATGCTGATGCTAAATGATAACAGCAGTGGAGTATCTGCATACATCACACAGGGCTGTTGGCCCATCATCCTGTTGACACAGAGAGTGTCTGGTTAGCAGCTCTCCTTTCAGTGTCCTCTGGCTGCCAGCTCACTGCTGGAAGATCAAAGTGTCCCACCCAGCTCCATCACCCATGTCAGATGCTGTTTCCATCAGTTACATCTAGGTACACGAGACATTTCGGTCACACAGCGGCAAAGCGTTTTCAAACACTGTGAAGTTAAGACATTTTGAAACTACATTTTGGGGAAGAAACTGCTAGAGTGTGAATGTTTGAGAACTTTACTCTTTTTCTGTACAGACACCTAAAAATTGGACTTACTTAAGTACAGTATCTGAGTAAATGCACTTAGTTACTTTCCACCAGTGTACACAAGTATACCTGTACTTTACATGTATAGTAGTACCATTTTTATGTCAAAGGTATTTGTATTGTATTGTATTTTTCTTAGAGAGAAACCAATGGCTGCTGCCAGGGTTACTTTTTAAAAAATGTTCTCCTATCATGGTGGTAAAATGGAGAAGACCTTTTTTTCTATACCAAATGCTCTAGGCCTCTCAGTCTTTGTGTTTTATTCATTTTACTGCACAGTTGATATTCTAACAAATTATCCTCTTCCAACAGGAGGTCTTTCACCGTCTGTATCTTATCTACACAGTGGGGTACTCCATTTCTCTGGGATCGCTCATGGTGGCTGTCGTTATCTTGGGATATTTTCGGTGAGTCTGTAATTTTTTTTCAACACTCCCAAGAGAGAGATTCAAATAGAGGATCAGAAATTAAGGTTAGCACAATAGCAGAGGGGAACAAAAGAGGAAGTAAATGTTTAATGGCATGATGGCTCAATGAACACCACTCATCATGCCTGTTTATCAGTGCCAGACTTTCAGTGAAGCACAAAGCATATTACTTTCATTAAAAAAGAGGTATTAATCTGAAATCATGCGATCTTGCTCACTCTATAATCATGCTGTGTGTTACATTTTGTGTCACAGCAGCAACATTTAACATGCAGAGTTTATCAAATACTACCTTTGACTTTTACTTTGACTTTTACCAGACTATGATACATTTCTCTTTGAGGAGGAGTCTGCCTCAAGGCTTGCAGTAATGTGTGCCTCATTGTCTGACATTTAGGTTCTTTGTTATTTTCAGGCTGATTTCAGGTTTCACTGACAAACAGCCAAAGCTTGGTTACTAATTTTGGAATTTTACGAAACTCAGAAAGATAGCATTTCATAAATCAATAAACGTGTGTTTCATTCCCCTTTTCCCCACTGTTTTTTAAGTGTAGAGATTTGAGAGTAACATACTCACACAAAACGATTTGTCACAGATGCTGTGTATATCAGCTGTGTATATATGCACAGAGAGAATCAGGAAACTAGGTGCTGTTTACCACTATTCCTACCAATGCGACTTACTGTACAGGCAGGCAGTCAAAGGCTTCAGGAACGTTCCCAACTGGCACCAGGAAATCCACGGGCCAAATGACTTTAATAAGTTATTCCAGGGGCCCATCTGACATTCTGGCTCTGTGCTCTGGAGCACTCCAGCTATGTCTCCCCTTGAACATGTCAGCTTTTAGACAGGAGAGCACGTAAATGTTTTCCAGGGAGAGAAAAGGCGTATTTCACATTAGGAGATTTGTTCAATATTTGTCACCAGGGATGTGTACACTAGATTAGTTTTTGCTCACCACTCCCAAAGCAATAATTTTCTCTGAGGGTAGTGTATCAAATAATCAGCTCACTGATTAGGCCAAGTTGATTATAGTTATTAATGGTCACAGTGGGATCATTTCAGTATCCAGTAGTTGTTCAAGATGGTTTATAGGATTTCAGAATATTGTAGCTCAAGCTGACTTTTGGAGATTTAATAAACACTAGTGAATATTTAATACATAATATCATTGACCTTTTTTATATGACTCTGTGATGATGTAAACTTTATAGCTATTGATCCTGCTACTTGATTCCAGTAGTGGCACACTCCACATCAAACTGTCAAATAGGATGTTTTGGGAGAAATTTTGACAAATACATTTGTGCTTGGCTGGAAGGAAATCCGTACGCTTTACTCAACACATGCTTGCAATTTTGTTTTTACTGTATAGCGCACTTTGAGCTGAGTAATTCAATATTGTGCATTTTAAGCCCCTGAATCAACAAAATGTGTTATAGTCAGTGGGGAATTCAGCTGGCTCTAATTAGTATGAGAATTGTTTCTGTGTGTGTGTGAATATACTTACACACACCTGGGTGAAGGTGAGCCAGTCCAAACATACACATATACACAGACGGAACTTTTAACAGATCGGTCTTTTGAGCTTACTGATCTTGTTTGTTCTCTCCCCAGACGATTACACTGTACCAGGAACTACATTCACATGCACCTATTTGTGTCCTACATGCTAAGAGCTATAAGTATATTTGTGAAAGATGTTGTGCTGTACTCTGGATCAGCCTTAGAGAACATGGAAAGAGTCACAGTGGAAGACCTGAAGTCCATCACTGAGGCGCCACCTGCCAACAAGGCACAGTTTGTAAGTATAACAACACAGCTGAAACACACCTACAGTATCATGGTCAATATGAAGCAAGAAATACTACAGAAAGTACGACACAGAATGATGGTATATAATACATATATAATAAAGGGTTGTGAGTTTTTTCCAAACAAAATCATAATAAGACAACTGCAAAGAGGAAGTCTTACTGTACTGCTTTTCCAGTGCTGGAGCAAATAAACTGTACTGTCTGTCACCATGCCAAGGTCAGCACCTGGCTTTTACTTTCAGAGTCACGTTTAAAATTGAATACATTAATGCATATTTTAATATGCAAACAAACAGTTTGTGCGGTACATTGAATAGAGAATATAGCCTAACTACATTAGGTGATTACATATGACATAATGAAGGAACATACTGTATGTGTATGTGTTTTTGCATGCTGTACTGCTGTGTGTTGTATGGAAACACACAAAGCTTGGCAGCCTAATGAAAACAGAATTAGGCTTCTTTTCACAACCTTTAGCACGTTATCTTAGGTTACTGTAGATATATTAATAAACAATGTAAAAATGTTGTAATTGTAAATGAAAGTGACCTTCTATAACCAGGCTTCTGTTTGGTGCTAAAGTGAGGTTTTCATTATCCTGTTTGCATTTCATTTGATGACCTTGACTGCATATTCACTGTAATATGATCAACCTGTTTTGGTATATTACAGCTGGTCTGTTGTGGGAAGGTACACGTCCAGGGTTTTGTAAGAAAGCATCCGTGGCAAGATCTCAAACAGCAGACTTAATTAACTATATTTTATTCATGTAAAAAGAAAAAAAAATCATGTTCATGGGAACAAAACTATTCAAATCACAGACCTTTGTCTGTATTAAAATTGTGAAATTGCAATTAAAAAGCTGTCCCATAGCAAAACCCCTGCAGTCGCCCAACAATGTTCATTAGAATACAAACTGATGAGAAAAGACATTTATAAGACTGGTAATCAGTCTCCAGAGAAAGGAGCACTAATAATTTTGGCATGACAATACAGCAGCAACAGTTGAAGCTGTATAAACAGTGTGGACGTTGAATCAATGGCTGAGTAAAGCATTGTGGGCTCCTGGGTCTTCCACACATCCTGCCAATACATGCAGTAATACTAAATGTATTATTATTATTATGATTTGTTCAAACACAGTGTATAAAGATAAAATGTCACTTTCAGTATAACATGTTACAGAAACAGTCCTAGGGTACTCATTTTGGACCTGGACATTTATTTATATTTTCAATTTAACTCAATCGGTAACTTATGTTGACGTGTCTTCCAATTTCCACTGCTTTCCTTTAAAAGCCAGCGGGGCCCAGGGGAAATTCACATGGTCCAAAAAGCAGCTAAAACATGTGACTTTAACAACAAAAGCTGCAGCTTGCTGATGTGAATCTCAGATTTTCCAATAACCATTGCCTGTCAGAAACGGCGCGCGTAATGCGGCCGAAAAGTGTTAGGTGAACTCATTAAATGGCCAGACGAGGAAGTAAAGGGGAATCCAAAACGCGTTGTC